TTAGTTCTTCGCGAAGGCTGGTTGCACTCATGACAATTTCCACCGGAAGACGAGAGAAACATGGGAAAAATACAAAAGTCGAAAACTCATAAAGGTCGGTAGTTGAATCCGAGAAGAGAAATCACACTCTCTTAGGAAGTCCAGGATTTTCTTCTTCCTTTCGTACGATGTCCCCTATTGAGAAAAGGTGCCGGAAATCTTATATTAACAACTTCCTTCGTCACAATACTCCGAAATTCCGTCGGAAATTAAAGGAATCCGAGATCAATATCGAAAAACCAGAAACAACGTTAAAGATTTGGATCAAATTCACGAAGAATTAAAGAAAGTTTCTGTTGATAAGGAAGGCAAGGGCAGTGTGGTACCAGACGAAGATCAAGCATCGGAGTTGCCTGGATTTGGAAAATATCCTTGTGTTCCTTGCGCGTAGGTGTCTTGTTAGCGTCATGTTTGAATGATTATTATTATCCACGCTATGTGTAAGTAAACTTCGGTATTTTCCACCACAATCATTCAAAAAAACCGGTTAGGCGACATTTCATAAATTCCGAAGCACTCAAAGAACACCATCGTGGTAAACTTCACAAAAAACGGTAGGAAGTTAATCAAATGTTTGGATCAATATTTACAACCCGATATATTTTAATGTTGGGGAAAGTAAGTTATTAACATTCCCAAATAAATAAATATTCAAATTAAATTATGGTAAACAGGATCAGGTTATTGAAAGAGGCACCGTACACTCAAATGGAGGCAGAAGCAGCAGTAGGGTACTCCACAGAAAATTCCCGAGTCAAAATGATGACTGATATCGAATAAGAAAAAGGAGTTCCCTTTTTGTTCCCCGAAGACATTTTTTTCAATGGTGCCAATTTGAGAGTTTCACGTATGCAATAAAGCTTGAATGAAATCCGTGATACGTGTGTGCTTACATGGTAAATTTGGCCGGCATCGAGACAAACTTTTGGCTGAATATTATAAATGTACGGACGTGTCACCATCTCAACCGAACGAGTGTGGGGGAAAGATGAGAATGAACTTTCGTGTAACCTCAATTTTTTTCCCAAGCTATGATTACATACGTACATGCGTCCACCACACAGATTCGAAATTGCCCATGAACAATTTTGCTTTTCACTATTAAAATAACGGACAAATTGGGTAGGTTACTCAAGACGTTGGTTTAAAATGGCTTTATTAAAAAATTCGATTTTTTTTTTTTTTTTGGTAAATACAAGAAAGGATTCATTCACCACAGCATACATGTGGACGAGAGAGAGAGGATGAAGGTGAAGAGGTAGTATTTCGTGATGACCATGAAGAAAATATATACTGTATGCATGCGTTATTATTTTATGTCAATGCCCAGTGTCTTTAATTGCATTTATTCAGTCAAATCCATATGGCACGCATTCACATTTCAAATGTCTCGACGCCAATTTCACTTTATAACTGAATGTCTTCTCGTACCTTTACAGAATCAGAATTATGATTCTACGAAAAGTTCAGTCTTCGATGATGTGCGACATTGTACTTTCATGTGCGCTAATCCAACCTTGCTTTAGTATTAATGCATATATCGTGTCAGATATGGGACTGATACAAGAGCGTAAAAAGGAATGGGCGAGGGAAAAAATTGGTAGTTCTTCCGATAATCATCCGATCACCAAAAAAAAAAAGATCGTCGATGAACACACTTTTTTTCCGGATAGTTCCTATTCCAAATAATGTCCGGAGTGCGCGAGGTTCATCATCTCTCACCCGTTGCGAATATTGCGTGTGATGGAATTCTGCCATCCTTCGATACCGCTGATTGAATTAATTAATTAATTAATTAATTTAATTAATTCTCTTCGCAATGCTTTGCGAGCGCTCAAGCAACTGCATTATCTATTATCAAATTATCGAATTAACTGAAGGTCACACCGAACACAACAGCAATAGCGTCTTGCGTAAGACATTGTTGTACGTACACACTTTCCAATTTCTTCCATGACAAATTCTGTGCGACAGGCTTGCGATTCGTCGAATCGTCAATCTTGCATGAGATTACAAAAACCTGGGCACTTGAAAGTGTCAATAGTGTCAAACAAAGGAAGGACCCCACAACCGTTGACCCTTTTTTATCATATAATGATTGTCCCTCGAATTTGTCAACAGTTGCATATGTATTGCAAATGCCTATGATTTACCGTACATCATTTTTTTTTTTTTATTTACTCGCGATTGCGTATAATATTATGTCGTGCTACCAGAATCGAAATGTCAGATTAGGGTGGGTAAATTTTTTTTTTTTTTTTTTTCCGTGATGACCCGCGATGAATCATGCGTAGGGTCCCCTCATGTTTTCTCGTATATAATAAGGTAACATGGTCGAATCGAGGAAAATAAAAACGAAAAAAAAATTTTTTTTACTCTGAAATAAAATCGAATTAAATAAATTTTTTGATTGTTAAAAAAAAAAAAAAAAGAAAAGAAAAGAAAAAGGAATCACATACTTTACTCGTTTTCTAACAAATGAAAATGGCAATTTTCGGTCAACAAGAAAACTTGATGGTGTTCTTAGGCTTGGACGGTGTGCAAAGACTTGGAATTTTTCGATGGTTGTTAATTGTAATGGCCATCTTCCTGACAGTTGTATGTTTCACCGTATCCATCAGAACATAGATGATCCTTTGATTCTTTTTTTCTTTCTCCTCCCCTCTCTCCCTTGAGCCCCTTCTCTCGCACATCGCCTTATCACTCATGACGATCCTAACTTCATCATTCCTTCGATAATCCAGATTCCTAGCAGTATTTTCTCCTTGGCACGAGATCGCAATCGCAATTTGTCCTTTACCGCGGTAATCTCTCCCGATGACGGTCAAATGTCTCCAGGGATCGTTTTAACACCTCACCTCACCCTCAGCGGTGACTTTGTGTGCGTAATATGCGCATGGATTATTGCCCTATTTGGCTCCTTTAATCTCATGAGGAGAAACAATTGCGTTGGCCAATTCGTATCCTTTCAACCCTTCATTTTTTAATTTTAATTACGTACATAAGGAGTCAGTCTCCACAGATGACCTCATTCGAAGCCCCAAATCAGTTACGTCATGTAATATCACCGTTTTTAGCGGAGAAAGGGGCGGTAAAAATGAATGAGGTCATTTGTTGACGATCCGTATACGTTCAACGCGTCACGCACGCACGAGTTTCGTCCGAGTGACGGTAACACAGATCCGCAACAATCCACTCTTTGACATATATCCTTGATTCGAGAAATTTAATTTTCCCCGTAGGTCTCGGCATTTCTGATTTTGTTCACTTTACTCCAAACGGTAGCAGCATTGTATAATGTGCTGTTCAGCAGCCAATGGATTTTCAAGATCATGGGCGGATCTTGGCAAAAGGCGTACAACTTGGATATTGATTTGGTGAGGGAAATTGAATATGAGGTATGTATTTAATTGATTTCGCATTAAATCTGACAATATTATTGACAAGTTGTGTTCTTGTGCGCACGCATCAGTTCTCATGCAAAGGGTACTATTCGCCGGTGGTCGATCAATCCGGAGAAGGTCTCGAGGGGTGCAGTAAAATATTGATGCAGAGATTTGGACCCCAATTATTTTACGTAGCAAAGATCACGCTCTTTTCAAGAGTAACTCAGGTAATGATTCAAAAATGATGTTTCATCCATGAAACTGAACCCCGCACATGTTATAAAAACCTATTCACTTTTTTACACACAATTATAAAAAATAGTTGGGAGGCGTCTTGATACACACGTTCATCTTCAACTGCATCACTCTGGATGACATACAGCAATATCTTTGCGGAGGTGATCTGTTCATAAGTGATGAACAAGACTTTCATGTGATGGATCGTGAAACCGCTTTCCGTCAAATCAATAATTGCTCGATCTTCTAGAAAAAAAAGATTCCGACTCAAACTTTTTTTCTCTCGAATTTGGTTTAACACAACGACAATATCGAAACATCCTTGTCTTGGACTAGGTTGATAATAACACGCAAATGGACGATTTTCGTTTCCAGGAAAAACAAAAAAAAAAGAATTGGCCAGTGATCTTTTTCAACGTTCACTGCCAACCTTTTTCCCTCCTTATCATCACACCTTTTTTTTTTTTTTTTTAAAAAAAAAAAAAATTTGTTATTTATTTATTCAAACCTGGCACCTCTCACTTTGTAAATATCAATTTTTCTTTTTAAAAGAACCTGTATGATAAATACCTTCCCCCTTTGTTTTTTTTTGTAAATTTACTACAAGTTTACCCTTCTTTGTATACATAATTAGATTCACCCATTCATTCACTTCATATACAATGCTAAAATGTCGCGTCTTGCGCATTACAATAGTATGTGTATATTGTAATTAATTAATTAATTTATTATTTATTTATTTATTCATTCATTCATTCATTCATTGATGCACAGCAGATTATATGAGGTCTTTTTTTTTTTAAGGGGGTGGGCTTTCTTTCTGCAGTGACATCAATCAGGTGGGAAGTGCGAACATCAAGATAGTGGTAGTGGTGTAGACGACACGCACAACATTGATCCGAAGTTGATCTATGGGGCGCATTTATTTAATGCAAACGTCCATTTTAGGGTTGAGTCGGTGTATACGGTGTATTGTTCATTGTCCGTTCGTTTGTTTTACTGGACGCATTTGTTTTTTTGAAGGATGGTTCTCTTGGTTGGATGATTTTGTAATTATTATTATGTTGTTCACGTTTTGTAAATAAATAAATACTCTCTTCATTTGTACCATTACGTGTTTTCTGAATTTTTATGCTTGCGTCTCACACAATACCGGTTACAGTAAGTTGGCACATGCTGTGAGCCGTTTTTCCAAAAACATTGAAAGCGCCTTTGGTTCGTTCGGTTAATTCCGGTGGCCATAAACGGCAATATCACAACACGTGTGTTGGTCATGGAAAATCCGTCTGGTCACGAGATACATAAAAAAGCACGTGCGGTGATATCCCCGGTTGCATGATGTCAAACTCTTCTTCACCGATAGACCATCCTGGAGGGAACACCTTTTCTATCGGGAGATCTCCCCCAATCGACCCGAATTTAATCAATGAACTGGAAAAACAGGCCTACGGGATCGCCAATGACCTGGAAACCATGCTACAGAATTTACAGTCGCAAATGTTTGAGGTTTTTCCACTAACCCACCTTTCTTTTTTTTCGCAATTCCAAACGACCGGTTCTTAAATACCACCTAAAAAATGTGAACATATTGCAGGCGTCGGTTCTAACTTCGGCTTCATTTGATGTTTACAAGCAAGCAATCCTGAGTCACGGTGCAGCCTTGGAAGACGCATCGAGTAAAACTCGGGAATTGATTGAAATGTGTGTTCGGTTGGATAAAGAGTTGGCGAACGTGCAGACGATGGCCAGCAATATGTATGCGTTTTTCTTGTGGTTCCTACATAATCTAATTATTCGCCTATACTTTTTTTTTTCTCCAATCATCATACGATTTTTTCTTTTTTTTTTTTTTTTACAGCAAGAACATTAGACAACAAGTAGACACTCTCCACGCTGCCATTGGAAAATGAGGATCCGTTGGAGGTGAAATCGTATCACGTTAAAATATGTTAGTTGTATATTGGACTTATTAATCAATGTACTTTTATTATACAAAAATTCGACAACACAAAGTATCCGGGATTCGCTTCTCCAAGATGTACTAAAATTTATAATAAGATGAACATCATTATTATTACATTGTGTATATATGCATATTGATAAGTGGGATGACGCTCGGTCGATTGTGAATAAAGGAAGACCCTGAAACTCAGATTGATACCTTAAAGCGTACTCTCAAAATGGTTATTCGTCTTCTCATTTTCTAAACTTTTCAAGATTAATCTTGTATCGATCTGTTGCGATCGAGGACTGCTTATGATGTCCACTGTTCGACGATTGTTTTGTGAATTCATCCAAGTATACGAGTGGAATGATGGAGGGTCTTGGATTTGAGGATACAAAGAATGTGTTGTTAATTCTCGACAGAGATTAATGCGCGCGACAAATTATTGTCAATTTACCTTCCGTGCGCACACTGAAAAGGGAAATTGCACAGAGATAATTTCGCTATTAATTCTTTGCATTGTTGAAAGGTCAGTCGATCGTTGAACATGAGGGCACCTAAATATAACGAATGAGAAGATCAACGTCACATCAAAACGAAGGTGTCTGATAAACTCACGATAAGATACCTCGGCAGGCCTTCGAGTTTATAATATCCAATATCCCCTTTGGACATTTGCTTATCATCTTCGTCCAGTCTCCCCTTCCATAATCTTCTAGGCGCATTTCGAACGCACCTGCACTCTCCAACCAATACATATATTGACGCACTATTTCTTGCATGACTCGCGAGTCGGATGCACAACGATCAGCGATCATCTTGGGAACATGTGTCACGTAAATATGCGAATGATCATTGTCGGCATGCGTCGATATTAGCATCGAGGTTGGAATGTTCGATTGCTTTGAAGCAACCCCATCACCAAAATAGATCCCCCAATTGTTAAAGTTTTCCTCGAATCTCTTGGCAACTTGCGTCTCTCTAATGGTCAATATTATCTTGATTGGTGGTCTCGCTTGAACAGTTTCCACCAAAGAAGAAACTTCGGTCGACGCTTGAAGTTTCTTCTTGGGGTCAAAAAATTCCTTCATCAGCATCTCGACACGGACGCGTTCATCTGCAGCATGCTGATCAACAAGAACCAATATGTGTCTTGTTTTTTGTTTGCATTCATCAAAATCTTGTTCTCCATCCGAAGAGCAGGGTAGCTTGCAAACAACAAATTTATCATCAAACTGACCAATGACCTCAGCCCGTGCAATATCTCGTTTGTTAAATCGATGTCCAAAAACAAAAGAACGCGTCGCATCTTTAGTCACGAACTTGTCGCTTGAAATTACATTTTTCAAAAAAGGCATCGGTGCCTCGTCACATTTAAAGACCGGGTTGCTCCATCTCTATCCAAATCGATCGATTGGCAAGATGAAACTTAAATTTACGAAATATGCATACTATTCCGAATAGATTACCTCGAAAGCCATTTTAGCCCATAACGTTGCATTTGTTGGCGTGTGACCTGACGTACGCAATCGGCTTCGATCCACTCTTGCGACCATACCGGTACTCGACGTGGACTTGCTACAATGGCCCCTACTCATCAGCAACATTCATGTTAACTTCAGCGTGGAAAAAAAAAAAAAAAAAAGCGAGCAGCCTGCAAAAAATTACTCACGAATTCCCTGCGCGCAGGCCAATATAGAAATCTCCCTCACTAGGAATTCCATTCCAACGTATGCATTCGTTTTCATTTTCGTCAATTTTAATTACCTCCGCTCCTCGTTTATCTTTACTTAAACCTCCTTTTAATTCCTCGTCTAGAAATATATACTGACGTTGACCGCCGGTTTTGATGTGTGCCAGGTCTTCGAATGTTAAGGGCAAATTTCGAGGGATTCTTATCCTGGTCTTTTTGACAGATGATCTCGATGTAACAACGTGCGATGCTTGATCATCTCGTATTATGAACCCGCGACACTCCAAAAATTGCGAAATCAGCTTAGATAGAAGATCCATGATTTTTGACCAGTTCTAAAGTTTGGTGTGCTTAATGTGGGCGTAGAAACACGTGCGCTATTTATTTATTTTTATCACTGACCTCGAATTCTACAACACTTTTGGTTGGATCCAAGCAAATATCATAATCACTCGTTGGACAAGTTAGATTAATCAGAAAAACAGGATGTCTCGCAAAAACTCCCGTTATCTCGTTTTTTTCCGTTTGTTCTATTAAACGAAGGTTGTCATGAGGAATGCATTAAAGTAAGATGGACGAAACTCGCAAAACAATCTTACTTGATTTGTTCGAGTGCGAACAACCCTGATCCAAAAATATTCCACCATGTGGCTAAAGGGTATTATATTAGCATTGATGATAGAATAATGTGTCAAAGGTCCGTACTTGGGACTCACTTTTTTTCCAAAGCTGCTTTTGTCAAAATGATCTTCTATCAGTTTATGAAGTTCGCCGCGAGTAATAAAATAATTATTGACGTCTATTAATGAGAGCCGATGTGAATGGTTAGACGAAGACACGTGATAATTAATGACCAAAAGTCGATATCTACAGAAATACTGATGATGCTAAATATATAAAGAACAAGATAAGAGTGGACCGTGAGATTATTACACAAGTTTTAAACCATTAGCAAGGTATCAATTCAAAGCATGACCTGAAAATTACCTTTGCATGATATCCTCTTGAAGAAATAAATCCGTCCAACTTAATGCGACCATCCTCGACGTGAACGGGTTCAAGACTCTGGGAGAAGCGAAAGGTTTATTACTTCATGGTTAAGATAAATTTCTAAGATCGATCCATCGCCAACCTGTGCTAAGGAGCCCCCAAAGAGTTGTCGAAATGTGGAAATATTTGATGTCGTCTAAAGGCAATGCTTGAAGGTTCAGATATGGATTATTAAAGGCTTTTTGTTTAAAAGATATGCCATCGGCAAGTACCTTTCTTGTGGTGATTATCTTACTATCTATCGACGCGTCTACAAGAGTAAAGGTGACTTGTGGTTGCGTCAAAGCCGTTGCTTCAATTGCCCTTTTAACATTTTCCAACTCATTGGCCAACAAACTATCTGTTTGACTGTTTCTACGAACTGGAAACTGAAATGCCAGTAAGATATCTTCGTAGCGTATTAGTAAGAAATATTCGGCGTCAAGGTTGCGCAGTTGTCATACCATATAAAAAAGATCTCGAATGATTATTGTGGTCCCCGGTTTTGTCCTCTTGTTATTCCGCGTTGGTCCATGTTGGAGACGTATGCCACCCTACAAAAGAAAAAAACAAGATGTGGGTTTAGAGAGTCCGCGTTGTCGAGGTGACTTGACATCCTAATACACGTACTTAACCTTAAACACGGTAACGTAAGTGTCGTAATAATCAGAATGTTTGCTTATTATCTCCAAGATTGAGATTTCCGCGAGGTTGGCTAGAGCTTCGAGCAACAGAATGACATTGACTAACCTTGGTCAAACAAATTAAGACCATCCGTTTTAATAATACCAACCAACCTTCACCGCGAAATCCATATGTACCTATCCGTGACAAGTCATCCAGTGTATGACATTTTGAAGTGGCTGCAAATTACACGCGAATTTAGGCAAATGTGAGCTTAACGAGAAAGGATTCGTTTCCCGCGGACGAACAACCATACCATGCCGTTGACCGATTTTATCCATATCTTCGGGTACAATTCCAGTTCCATTATCAATCACTTGCACATAATATTTCGCCACATTAACGTGAATCTCGATTGTTGTCGCCATGGCGTCGAGACCTGTCACGCGAGACCAAATTAGATTCGTTATGGCAAGAAAGCAACGTGCGCTTATTGTATTTTTTTTTTTTTTCTCGAAAATTCTCGTCCACCTACTATTTTGAACTAGTTCGACAACACACTGTGCCACTGAATTGATAAAGGAGGAACGCAACCTGCGAATGACTGCATCTTCAAGAAGGCGAATGGTCATTGCAAAAGTATAAAAAATGCAATCTATAAATTTATATAGTGCACAAAAAAATGGTGCATTTGATTAAATGCAACGTATTGTGATACGATCTTGATGTAACCATTGCCGTCGACCAAAATATATATATGTATTGTCTGTGATGCAAACTTTGTCGCCCTCTCCGTCCCAGCATTCCAAACAATGAATCGACTCTTTGGCACCTCGAAAAAAACACCGAAACCTACTCTAAATGATGCAATAACTGCGGTTAGTTCTCGATAACCTCTTCATCGACTCAGTATGATTTTATACTTTTAATAAGGACATTGTTTAATAGACTGACACACGAGTTGATGCAGTCGAGGTAAAGATAAAGAAGCTCGAGGCAGAATTGTCCAGGTATAAAGATCAGATGAAAAAAATGAGAGAAGGACCAGCAAAAGTAAACATTCCGATAAAATTTCTGCGGCATTCCTTGTTCAATTTTCTTTAACCTTGCCCTTATTTTCCTACACCAGAATGCCATCAAGAGCAAGGCGCTACGTGTTTTGAAGCAAAAGAAGATGTGAGCTATTGGTCGCTTGCTCCCCCTCAAATATTCATATTTAATTGACCAAGATTGACTTCATTAAAATCAGGTATGAGACTCAGCGAGATCAACTACAACAACAATCCTTTAACATGGAGCAAGCTTCCTTCGCGACCGAGAATCTGCGAAATGTAGCTACCACCGTAGATGCCATGCAATTAGCCAACAAGGAGATGCAAAAGCAATACAAGAAAATCGATATAAATAAAATTGAGGTAACCCGATCAGATGAATGGATTTATTGTCATGCTAAATTCGAGACACTTATTGTTCTTATCAGAGCATTCAAGATGATATGGAGGATCTGTTGGAACAAGCCAATGAGATACAGGACTCGCTCGGGCGGACGTACGGTCTCCCCGAAGATATCGATGAGGATGAATTAGAAGCAGGTAAATGTTAAGGTCTAATAGAACTTTAATCATATGCCACCGGAAAATCTTAATAACAATATTGGCAACATTCAGAGTTGGACGCCTTGGGAGATGAATTGAGTTTCGAAGAAGAGGAACCGTCATATTTGCAAGAGACGCCGGCATCCGAATTACCGCTTGGAGAGTTGGAAAATAATCCCGAGGTAATGGAGTCTTTCTTTTTTTTTCACGATAAAATCCGATACCTTAGACTACGGATGTTAACACTTTATTAAATTGTATTTAGCTTGGTGATGGATCTTCAGAAACCCCAATAAAAAATGTCGCATAAATTATATTTTTGTCAGATTTACATCTTCCATGAATCTATTTGATAGTGATTAATATGCCATCTAAATTAAAAATAATTACACATCTGATATTACAGAAAAGGAATTAAATACATTGAGAGAGTGGAAGGATAAAATTATTGGCGTCTTTTGCCACAAATTGTTATAGTCATAAATCTAATTGTTTTTGTAAATAACCATCCAAACTCGCAACCATGCGATGTACGTATATAATAAATAAGAAATTTTTAAATATTTAAGAGTCCTTTTTCCAAACGGTATTTAACAATGTCTTCAATCGTAATCAACTTTAATCCGTGCTCGTCCGCGAACGCGCGGCAATCGTCACGACGCGCCATCGACCCGTCGTCTCTGACCAGTTCGCAGATGACGCCGACAGGTTGCAAACCTGCTAATTTACATAAGTCTAGTAGATCACGACCCAAAAAAGAAATCATCAGAAATCTCATGCATCACCAACTTCCGTAGCGAACACCGAATATGATCATTACAAACCTACTGAAGCCTCGGTATGACCAATTCTTTTTAATACACCACCTTCAGTATATCTCAATGGGAAGACATGCCCTGGTCGATTAAAATCATTTGGGTCCGTGTATTCAGGATTTGCTAGTGCGCGCGCCGTTAAGGCGCGATCGTGGGCCGATATACCAGTCGTGGTGTCTAGGTTAATATAAGCGATCAAAATGGGTGTATGATGACAAATCACATGTGCATAAAATTTGTACACTCACTGTGACGATAATCTACTGATATAGTGTATGCTGTCTTCATTTTCTCGGTATTTTGTGGTACCATGAGAGGTAGCTTTAATTGATCCAATCGCTCAGAAGTAGCTGGCACACATATCAATCCACTAAATTTCACGCGCGCAGATTTCTAGTTAATGATGTTGATACTTTTATGCGCATTCGGATCAAAGTCGAGACTTTAAATACCTTGTGTGCCGTACCATGAATGCCATCTTCTCGGTGGTCACCTTCTCGGCTGCAATCACCAGATCTCCCTCGTTTTCGCGATCCTCGTTATCCACTACCAGCAGGAATTTACCTTCCGCTTTATGAGTTATATTTTAGGAAGTAAGATATTTAGACTTACCAAGGATTAAAACTTGATAATTTGCTCTTAAATTACCTAGATCTCGCATGGCGGCTTCGATGGAATCGAACCAGATTTTAGGTTTACCATTCGCTACTACTGGTTTCTTTTCTCCGCCTTCGACCATTTTTTTTTTTTTAATATTCAGTTGGTTTGTTCAGGATCCACCACGAGTGCATGCGCGCGACTTATATGCGCATGGATCGAAGATTTTTTTTTTTTTTTAGTCTTACCAATTACATTACTAAATTATGTTTACATAATAGCAAATGACTTACTAATTCTACCTTAAATTTATCAATCAGATATTTGATATTTGTAATCATGTGGCATAAATTTGTGATAATCTCTTTTCTGTCAAATTAAAATTTATAGATTTATCATTATTCTCGCACTATAAGACTACTACTGTATTGCCATTATAGGTTAGTTCCACCTTCCTTCACGCTCACTGTCGGGCAAGTCCTCGAGATGTAAGATGTTGAATTATTGCACGTGTTGCTTATCCTCCAATCAAAATGCGAGAACCAAAATAATTGATTTTTCTAAAATTCGAAAATTACATGTCACCACACATTTAGACATACTCAAAAATGGGTGAATCAAATGCCAAAGCGGGCTCCTGGAATATCTTGGAACCGAGATTAAGTCCCTTCATGTATGTTCATTTTTCAACAATTTACTTTCTAAAAATTCTTATGGATCAATTACTGTTTTTTAGTATGGAAGCTTTGGCTATTACGAATTTCTCTGAAATGACGCCCGTGCAAGCGGCTACCATTCCCCTGTTTATGAAACACAAAGATGTTGTTGTCGAGGTACTTTGAGAATACATGGAGGTTTTCTATCTGAGGCAAACAGAAATTATTAAAGTTAGAATCTCTCTAGGCTGTAACAGGTTCTGGGAAAACACTTGCATTTGTTATTCCGATTATCGAAAAATTATTTCGTCGAAAAAATCAATTGGCTCACAATGAAGTAGGGGCACTGGTCATAACTCCTACAAGGTTTTCTCCAGTTTCACAACACCCTGATGCCTCAATTATTTCCACGGCGTATATCCTGTATTAATAACAATATTTTTAAAAGGGAATTGGCACAACAAATATCATCCGTATTCACCATATTCCTTAATGAATCTAAGTTAAAGCATGCTCTTATAATTGGAGGTACCACTACTGTTCACGACGACATTTCCCTTATTAAAGACTTGGGACCGGACATTATAATAGGAACTCCCGGGAGACTACGAGACCTATTAGTTGGAGACGGAAACAAGAAAAGTCTGGTAAATGCTAAGGAGTTAGAGATCCTGGTATTGGACGAGGCTGATAGATTATTGGACATGGGCTTCTCGCAAACATTGAATGACATTATAGCTCATCTACCAAAACAAAGAAATACCGGATTATTTTCGGCAACAATGACAGATGGGCTCGCAGAGGTCGTCCGTGTGGGATTACGAAATCCTGTGAGAGTCGTAGTCAAAGTGGAAGATGTTATATCTAAAGTTGAACAACGTACACCATCTACGTAAGGATGCTTTTCATTGATAATGAGAATTTCTAGAATACGTAAAATCGAATCTTAAGGCTATTTTATGCTGGATTGAAGGCTTGACATTAGGTATATCGTTTGTGAACCGCATCAGAAATTGGCACAATTGTTGAGATTAATTTCAAGAGAGTCTGCTGCAAAGAAATATATTATTTATTTTGCAACATGTGCATGTGTGGATTATTTTTATAAGGTACTAATATCTACTTATTGGCCGTTGCATAGAAAATAATCAATCGATAACGTTATTCTATTTATAGATATTTTTGAAGTTGCCACAGTTAAAAGGAATATCGATTCATTCGTTCCACGGTCAAATGGATACGAAGCGGCGGATAGGTTCTCATCTGATTAGCTTTTTTTTTTTTCTTTTGTTGATAATAACTTATTCAAGTTCATAAAATTTTCATCAGCTACCTATCAAACATTTGTCAATCTTCCACCCATATCGCCTGCGCTACTTTTATGCACCGACGTTGCCGCAAGGGGTTTGGATGTTCCTGATGTCGATGTCGTTATACAAATGGAACCTCCCCAGGACCCTAAGGTATTTTCTCATCGATGTGGTAGGACTGCGCGAGCGGGAAAGGAAGGGAAGGCAATCTTGTTTTTGGGAAAAGGAAGAGAAGAAGTTTATGTAGGAAAGTATTCTAACTGAAATTTATAGTTGGAATTGTTCTGGATGATTAAATAAATTTTGGCTGCGAACAGATTTTTTGAAAATTCGGAAAATACCTTTACAAAGACAATCATATATTTTGCCCGATGGAAATGAATTCGTCGCATCATCCTCACTCTCAAATGATGGTGACATTTCCCCAGTACCTGTTGTCGATGATGAAAACGAAGTTCTCTTGAAGAAAATTCAGAGCATCGTGCTTTCTGACCGAGATCTGCATGATAAGGTGAACAAACACCCTATTTATATTAAAGTTAGCTGGTGAACATAATTTAGACATTTTGTTTCGTTTCAAAGGGACTTAGGGCTTTCGTTTCATTTATCCGCTTTTACTCCAAACACGAGTTAAGTTACATATTTCGACTGAAAGATCTCAACTTGGGAAAGGTCGCGAAAGGATATTGCTTATTACGGGTAATTACAATTCCGCAATGTATTCTTACAATTTTAAAGTATGAAACAACTTACATTGAATTTCAGTTACCCAAAATGCCAGAGTTAAGAAATTCTAGAATAGATTTTGAAGAAATTCCCGTTAACGTGTGTATTTTAAATTTGACTGCTGCACAAAATTAATTTAATGTTGAATCTATTTCATTTTATTATTTAATAAGATGGATGAATATAAATACGCGGATAAAGCACGCGAAAAAAGTAGACTGCTAAGACTGGCAGAGGAAAGATCGAAATCGGATTCAAGTTCACTTCCAGAAAAAAAGTATGTTAATATTTTTTTTTTTTCCTAAGGGGAATTGAATTAAATTATTAAAATTTGGTTTAAGAAAAATACCGAAAGGTCCCTGGTCAGAAAAGGCAGCCTTAAAGCAGCGAAAATTAGAAAGAAAACTTAAGAAAGCTAAAAAGAAGGAACAAGTTAAAAAGAGAAAAGCAGATGAGATTGCTAACGAGTTTTCTGCGAAAAATATCAAAGGAGATGAGGAGGAAGGTGTATGCAGTGGTATTGAAGAGGAATGGGATGAATTGCAAAAAGAGAAAAAATTAATAAAAAAATTAAAAATTGGAAAAATTGACCGCGACGAGTTCGATCAAAAGATGGCATCAATAACGGAGAAGGTATTGTCAATAAACGAGGAAATTTAGAATAAAAATATCGGCTAATTATGCTTTAATGCTTTTTGATGACAACAATATATATATATATATATTTTTTGTTACTTTTTTTCCGGAAAGTAATGGCGGTTATATATCTTTATTTTTTGTTACATTAAAAATTTTTTTATAAAATATAAAGTTTTTGTTCATTAAATGTTAAGCAATATATTTATTATTGATTGATTTTTGATTAACAAGTTTTTTTTATTTAAAGCTAGTTTATTTTATTTTTATTATTTGTTTGTTTGTTATCCTGGCAATCAGGACATTTGATAATTTAACAAATCTTCATATGATAACAAACTCATTATTGGTAAAGTATATCCTAAGATTACTTTTAAGTTTTATCTAAGGAACAATATTATAATTTGTAATAACTATTCTAACTATATACGGAAGAGAAAAAAAAAATCTAAAATATACAAGTGTATAATAAAATATTTATACTATATATATATATTTTAGAGTTTTTTAAAAGGTTTATTATTAAATTATTAAAATCTTTTCTTGAGATAAAATAATTTTATATAGAATATTCTTTTTTATTGGATTATCTAAAAAACTTATTTATGGCTATTGAAACTATATATTATTTAAAATTTTTATTTCTTTGAGTTTTGAGTTTTTTAAATAAATTTTTATTTTATAAACTTATTTTATAACTAATTAATAGTTGTTTAACTTTTTTTAATTGAAATAAAAAAAAATTTTTTTTTTTTTTTTATAACCCGCAATCATACCACACTGGCATATCTTTATTGAAAAATTGAAAATGAATTTACAATATTTTACAAACTTTCACAAAGTGACTAACTCGTCTTTATACA